TATATCCAGCTCCTAACATGCCACAGATAGTGGCCCTTCCTACTTTCAGTTTTTCATCAATATCAATTGTATTCTTTTCATTTCTGGTTATACCTAGATGTTTTGCAGTTGTACTTCTACCTATCTGAGAGCTGCCAATGTTAACTACTCTGTCCTGATTGGTATTATAGCATACAAGGTCCGATTTCTGTGGGTTGATCTTGACTAGGTCTCTCTGTGTATGGTTGTATACAATGTCCATAATGCCCTGCAGTTCACTTTCAGAGTTTGCTAGTACTAATATGTCATCTGCACATGTTGGTGTAGCAATGTATTTTGTCCCCATATGGCTTTCTAATCCACTTTCTGTTACACTATCTAGAATGGCATTATTATAGCATTTGTACAAGGCGGTTGAAAGTTTTGCTCCTTGCTGAATTCCTCGGTTGACAGATATTTTGTCAGAAACAAGATCGTCCCATTTAATTCTAATGCTCATTTCTCTATACATATTACGGAGTAGAATCTACATGTCACCGTCAATGCCATAATATAGACCTTGTTGAAGAATATTTCATGCTCCAGTTTATCAAAAGCCTTTTCTGCATCCAAAGTTAGTAGCAGGATTTCCTGGTCATCTTCACAAGATTGTATTATAACTTCCGATGCCAGGAATATAGCAAATATCATGGGTATGGCTTCAGTAAATCCTCGTTGTAGTTGGGTTCGGATTTGATGGATCTTTATATCTATTCTGAATTTTAATACACTCTGTAGGATTTTAGTGAGGATTTTGGTCACTGTGATTCCTCTATAGTTTGCCGGGTTTTGACGGTCCTTATTTTTCTTCAATACTGGTGTCATTGTTCCTCCTTTCAGCATCTGTGGGATGTCAAGTTGTTCTATTAATGTATTGAGGATATGCAATATGAGTGGTAGAAGCTCGGCCTCAGCGTGTTTGTAGTGTTCGGCTGATATTCTAGCGATATCTGAGGATTTTCAGTTTTTCAGTTTTTTTACAGCATCATGTATTTCCTCCTCTTTTATTGGTTCAATTTTAACTTTCCCCATTTCTATCTTTTCGATTATGGTATTTTGCAAGGATGAGAGCTCAAATTTTTTGTAATCAAAATCCTGCTTATAGTCTCGATTCGGTAGTAAGTTGTTTTACATGATTTCCCTGTTACCTTTCTTATGTATAGGCATTTACATATAATTTTATAGATGATTCAATGATCTTCGAAACCCGAAAAATATTAAATATAATCGAATGTTTGATTTGTCGTGGTATTAATTAAATACACATCTGTGCAATACACACGCATACATATATTAATAAATGGATGCTACCAAATTTAGTTAGCTAGAAACGTGTAACTATATCAAATTTGGTCAATGACAAAACTTGGCAAGCCAAATGCATTAAACATCTGAGAACATGAAAATCAACACTATTTTTTGTTTACTGATTCGGCCAAAAAGTAATCATTCTTTACAAGTTACCCAATGATTTACGTATATTTGTTTTTTTAATTAATGACATAAAACAAACATACCTAGAATCTAGAAAAAATCGTCCTCAAATTATGTCTGTTACTTCATATTCACATTTAAGGTTAATCGAGTCACATGATCAGTCTTCGTAGGTCATCTGGATGGTTGATTGAATGGTGCCTAGTGCTAAAATATGCATTCAATACCGATGCTTTGTTACGATTTCATGCATTGTTTATTGTTTTCCTTTTATAATTTTGGTAAATATTTTAGTATGTCATAAATCAATTAAAGGGGTATTAGCTGTCAAATACATGCTCATCGATTCGACTCATTTTATACATAACGTACTAAAAGATAGGCGAAGGATACCAAAGGGACATTCAAACATAAGTCGAAAAATAAACTGACAACTCCATCGCTAAAAAAAAAGAAAAAAAAACAGACAAACTACAGTATACAAAACAACATAGAAAACCAAAGACTGAGCAACACGAACCACACCAAAACAGGGGGTGATCGCAGGTGCTCCGGAAGGGTGAGCAGATCCTGCTCCACATTAGGCACCCGTCGTGTTGCTCATTCATGTAAGTGTAAACCCGATGATATGTCTAATTCGGTAGATCACATTCAGGGGAAGGGGACGAGATTGTAGTTACGACAATTGGAACATATCCGTCGTCATCTGTGAAACAGATATTCCATAACGGTCAACCAACTCGTGATGGCGTCCGTAAAATTTACGAAGGGATGATTTCAACTTCCCTTCTTGGAACTCTTGGTTTAATAGCTTTCGTGTGAGCATCAACCCTATATCAAGGAAATCATGATAGGAAACATAAACCCTGGAATATCGTATCAACTTGGAGATATATACTCCGTATGCAGGCGCGGCTTGAATGTTGCTACATAGAAATGTAAATTTCACAATAAGGAAGCTGAAATCATCTCGTTTGTCGTAAAACGTCCACCAAATTACAAAAAGTCACACAGAAACAATTTACAACGCATGGACTTTATCAACATTTCTTGTGTATTTTAGAAAAGACGCCATCTCATTAACCATCGAGATGATCTCCGAAGAATCCGTTGATCATATAACCTGATGTAATCGTAAATATAAATATAAATAAACAGGCAAGCACGTGCAATCGTATAATAACGATTTTTCTAGGTCTGTTTGATTTCATCTGATACATTAAAAATAATATGTAAATCATCATTTTACCTGTATTTGAATGATTTTGTGGATAGAATCAGTCAATGAAAGGGGTATTCCCGGAAGATACCTTATTTCACTTTTCAATGTTGACATTCTTTTCTTTTTATAACTAATCATGCTAAGCCCACACGTAATCCATCCCCTGTTAAGGGTCTAATTAAAGTTCAAGTGCATACGGTTTCAAATGAATTGAATTATAAGCCAATAATACATTGCCGATGTTTTGGAGCTTATTTCGACAAAATTGAACACAACAGACTGCTAATAGCAAAATATCATTTCACAATTTTGCTTTGATAAATGTTTGAAAAAAATGATATTTTGATTAATTGACAGCTTCGTAGCAATGCCCCCTTTAAAGAGTTTTGGTCAATTCAATGGTAACTATTACTGTTCCTGTGTATGGCATGCACGATTCATGTTTATTCAACGGCGAAGATATCTCTTATTCTCTTTAAGATAAAATTTATTTTTAAAAAGTTTATAAGATATCTTATATAAATTACAAGGTATCTCATATATTTAAAAATATATCCTATGAAGAAAAGTTTATATAATAACATTAACGGTATCAATTGTACTGCAACATGCGCATTTCGACAAGTATCGTCTTTTCCGTAATGATCGGGCCAAAATATTTGAAAATCATAACCTTATACAAACGTTGAGGAGCTGATAAAACAAAAAATCTTCTTAAAGTATAGCCAAATCCGGACAAGGAATAACAGCTTTGCATGAGAAAGATATATCTAAATTGTTTTCTAAAAGTGTATAAAATATGTTAGATATCTTATAAACTTCGATGTATGATATAGTATGTATATATACCCTTCTTAAATTTGAACAACAATAAGGGCCACTATGCCTAACATTAACTAAATTCAATTCAAAATAGAACTATTCAATAACACTTGCATAGATGATTTTTTTTTCTTGAATAATCAGGTATCTCATTATACTGCGATTCGGGAATTTTACCCCAAGAACTAACTCTAAATAAATCTAATATACAGTAGTACATAGATGTTTTTTTCTTAAATAATCAGGTCTCTCATTATACTGCGATTCGGGAATTTTACCCAAAGAACTAACTCTAAATAAATCTAATATACAGTAGTACTTGTACATTATTAGTGTTTGGGTATTTCATTTTCACACGGGAAACTCAATAAAAACATTTTCGCAAAAACAAATTTTAAACTTATCGGGACTATGGATTTAATGATTGATTTTTCGGTATCCGGGAAAGAATGCCTGTTGTTCAGCGTTTGTTGGTGTCGTTCGTAGGTGTTTCTCGTTTCTCGTTTTTTATATAGATTAGACCTTTGGTTTTCCTCTTTGAATTGTTTTACACTAGTCATTTTAGGGCCCTTGATAGCTTGCTGTTTGGTGTGAGCCAAGGCTCCGTGTTGAAGGCCGTACTTTGACCTATAATTGTTAACTTTTTATACATTGTGACTTGGATGGAGAAATGTCTCATTGGCACTCATACCACGTCTTCTTATTTATATTTATTCTTTTCGGGAATCAGGATTTAGGGTTTGTTTTTCCGGGAAATCGAGATGACACCCCGTCTACATTTCTTCACTTCTGGAGAGAAAATCAGAACATGAAGTTAGCATTAAATAATAAAGGCTTAAATTTGATCAAAAAGTTATATATTTTGGGTCCTTATAGGAAGACATGTCATCCTACACAGACACATTATTATTTCTCCGGGCCAACCAGTCCTTTCGCTACTGCTAACTGCTGCGTGCTACGCGTAGAAGTAGCAAATACATATTCTAAAGTCTTTGGTTAGACCTGGTCAGGAATCGAACCCACGACCTCCCGGAACGCAAGGCGAGAACGTTATCACGATACCACAGAGGCGGTTGACAATAAAGAAAACTGAATTTTAAGTGAAATAAAAGGAAATGATGAGTCGTTTAATTTGTACTCAGTAATTGCATATAGTTAAAATTAAGACGGACGATCTTTTTGTACTCTGATATAATTGCAAACAAAATGTGCAAACTCGAGAGAAAGAAACCCTGGTCAGCACACTAAACTAACCTAATCAATTCACGCCAAAAATCACGATCATTGATATAAACCATAGCTACTGTGATATCTCACTCTTCAGAATTTTTCTTATTATAGTTGTATACTACCTTTATATCCAACTTCATATAAGAGGAATAAAAACACAAACGTGTTTATAACTATCTTAAAATGAAACACTGTATATAGTGTCGGTTCGACATGATTTCTGCCATCCCTGACCTAAATGATTTGACCCTGAAGATGTCAGCACACACTTAACTTTGGGCGATAACTGTGCAGAGTTTTACTTTTATTCGATCGCGATAACAATATCCTTATTGACCTACATATTATCTTGTTGTTAAGAAATTGGTGGACATACAAGACTTAAAAAGTCCTTAGATCAGTTATTAGTTTTGTGTAAGATTTGCATTCCTTGATCCGGAATTTGTACACAGAAAGGTATGTCATTTACAACTGTATTCATTCATTATTGTTACTTAGCATATATACAACATTCTACGCTACTAAATATTATTTATGAAGTGTTTATTTTCTTGACTGTCCAAAATTTAGTTCGCAGAAATATTGTTTACCTTAATACACATGACACATCATTTTAAAATAAAAGTGAAAATAATGATTTTGAGTTGTGATATTTTGTTTTATAAAACACGTGTAGATTGTTTCATTCATGTATATCGTGTGAACATATGTGTGTGTTTGTGTAGATATGTTTGTATTATATAATATATGTTCATAATGGGTAAGATACCGACATTCACCACTCAGTTTTCCATTGTCTCTATACGGTGTGCATGTGTATTCAGGTGTTATGAGAAGTCAGAGTGGTGGGCATACGTCACTCATAAAGCAACCCAACGAAACAAATACACAAAAAAATATTTTATTAGGCTACCAAGTGACTGGGGTTTAGATATATGGTCTCCTAGGTCTTCTTTCTACCGGCAGCAAAACTTGTCAAAATGCCAAATGTATAAATTCGCTCCACGTCCGGCCAGAATGGAAAGGTTTAATCCGATGCATTGTGTAGAAGTGAGTGTCACGTTCTCTGGACGTTAACGAATTTTTGCAACAACTCTTTGAGCGGTCATTGGTGGCCTGCTGTAACGCATCATTTCTGACCCTATTCAACATAACATTCCAGTAGTTGCAGTCCAAATTTTCCGTCCCTTGTCCCTTCACCCCTGTCGTCCCACCTTGCAACACCTTCCTATTGTTTTATGTAAATAGTTGCATGAAATAATTGCAACTGTACATTAAGCATGCAACATTTTATAAATCAACAAATGGCAGGTGTCTAACTTTATAACAGCTGTGCATACATTGAACTAAACTCTCAAAAATTCTGCCATAAACATCAAAAATTATATACTCCGGAGTCAAAAATCGGTAATATGAAAATGTCCTACTCTCCAAATAAAGATCTTTGGAATAACATAAGGTTAAACGGAATAAAAAATATACATTTGATAAAACTCAGTAAAGATATATTACTTATTGATTTGTTCATTTTTGATGGTCGTAGTGACGGTGACCAGTGCCTGCTCACATCCGTGTCTTTGGTCAATGCTTGATATACATTTTTATTGGCAATCATACCACATCTTCTTACTTTTCTCTTAGCTTTTGAATAACGGTATTTTTATTTATACAGAAGCGATGGACGATGAGCAAATGCCAGCAACTATTTCCGATGTTCCGACACCAAGTTTCTTAGTAGACCTTGACAAAGTTAAGAAGAATGCTCAGAAGATGACAGATACTTGTGAGAGACTTGGAGTTCAGTTACGGCCCCACATGAAGACACATAAAACTGTGTTTGTATCATTTACTTGTGAATAGCGCCGGAAACAAAATACAAAAACAAACTTGAATTCAAAGTACTCGTCTGACGATTTGACAGATATTTATAGGCATTTGTTAATACTAAGATAGTATAAATAGGACCTATATTAAAAAGTAATCTTAAACACAGTAAAAACTAGTTCTGTATTTTTTATTTCAAGAACAGGTTTATTACATTCTCGAATCGTTTATTACTCGAAAACGAATACATTCTCCGTGTAAATAGTCCTTGCTGATCGACGAAGAAGCACTTGATGTATTATGGTAACGGTGAGGGTAGAACATCGGTGGAGTAATGAGAAAAGTATCTAATGAAATGAGTTCCGACCGAACAGCATGTTTTAATATGTTCAATTTTCTTGTATATAAATTGTATTCAAAGAAAATTTTCCCGGGTATTATCGTAGCAAAATTAGTCCCTGTGAAAACATTGGCTATAATTATTCTGTTACAATGTTTTTGAAAAATTCATTTTTTTCCTCAGTGACAGTGAAGAGAAGACTTTGGGTATTTCACCGAAAGAGAAGTGACCGCTGTTGTGAACAGGAACTACATGTCCTCGGAATGCAACCTACATTGTGAATTTGATCCTCGTCGTATGATAAATTTGGGACGTTCAAACACAAAACATGATTACTAACATTTCGAAATTTAATGGAAAAAATGGAAATTGATAAATATCTTCCTCTTAACGTAAAATATTTTGTTTTTCTTTCAGAGAGCTTGGTACCTTAATGACCAACGGAACAAATAGAACCATAGAAGTATCAACTTTAGATGAAGCCGAATTCTATGCTAAGAATGGATTTGATGATATTCTATATGCGCATCCACTCATAGCTGCTCGCACTGAAAGGTTAGTCGGTAAAAAAGCAAGCATATTTTTGTACAAAATAGGGTTTTCGGTCTTTTTTTCGGTTTCTGTAGTATTTGTCCTGTACTAATCGAAGAAAGCATAAACGCCCCCGTAAATTATAATGCATCATTCTAAACAATTGTTTTACTATTATTGTGCATAATGGTTTTTTAAACTTAAATTATAAATAGAAATTATCATTATACTTTAAAATAATTGACGGTGCATTTTTCTCTAGGTGTAAAAATCTAGCCTACAAATTAGAATCGTTTCATGTAATGATAGAAAATTCTCATGGATTGGATGTTTTGTTGAAGAGCCCATTGACGGATGGGAAGAAATGGTCCGTATTTCTCGAAGTTGATGACGGATCTGGAAGAAGTATGTTTCGTATTAGGTATTAGTCATATTATAGAAAAAATACATTGGAATACGAAACATGAAACGAATCCATATACCAACAAAAATTAAAACAATTAAAAGGAAACGACATTGCTTTTGCAATAATTTGTTGGTAACATGGTAAAGTCAGTATAGTGCTAACTATTGAAACTGACCACAATTAACTTGTATACTAAATATATGTTTTGAAAAAATTCGCGTCCGAATTTGAGTTTAAAAAAATAACATACGCATTAGTCCTACTCAAGAAATACGCAGTTTTACGGAGTAACATAGAAATAAGGAAACATGCAATCTGCCGTTTATTCGGCGATGACCACCTCGTGTAACATGGGATTCGATACCAACACACTGCCAAAATATTCAATTAAAAACTTAATTTTAAAAATTTACGTTCATTTTTATTTCTCCTGTTTCTCCTTATCCAGTTTGATTTTAGTGGCTTTCCTAAAGACATGAGTTGAAAGCAAATGTTTCTGAAACGAATTTCTCGTGACTATTTATTATTTTTTATTTTAGCCGGTGTACCGTGGGACAGCGATGACGTAATCAGCCTTGCAACAATGGCGTCTCAGACTCCTTATATAGACTTCAAAGGGTTGTATCTGTACAATGGTAACACGTATAAAGCTAACTGTAAAGAAGAAATAGAAGACGCTAATAAAAAAGGAACAGATTTACTGAAAAATCTGTATAAAAGGTCAGAAATAATTTAACACCCTGTGTAATCGGGCACAGGACGTTTGCGCTTTTTAACCTGTAACACAATATGACATTTGCGCTCCAAACACTATGGACATTTGCGATTTAAATTTTGATACACCTGTATCAAATTGACCGGACATTTGCGCTTTTTACCTATAGTCTGTAATTTCAATAAGTTGTAGTTATTACATAAATAAATTCAACTTATATTTGTGGTTAGTTTGTTCACATTGACACAGTCTTTAACATAGAGTTTAAAGTTATAGATTAGCAAAAGAAAAAAAATGTATATGGATTTTTAACATTGAACAACAGTCGGTTAATACATGTAACATTAAAATTCGTTATATTGATGAACAGGGACCTCAGTCAAGATTTGAGAAAGAGAAACTAGAATATTTATTTGTATTGTGGGCGTAATATTAGTCAGGACAGATATATATAACATATCAATGTGCTATGAAATGACTTTTAAACACGAATGTGCTATGAAATGACTATTAAACTTTCAAACATAATGAAAGTTATGACTTTAACTTTGACAGGTCAAACCTACCTGTCCTAAGCCCTAATAAAATAGGAGAGAAGTCATAAGAAGCAAATATTGTAAAAGCGCAAATGTCCTATATAAAAAGCGCAGATGTCCTATAAATTGAAGCGCAAATGTCCTATGAAAAAGCGCAAACCTCCCGCACCGGTGTAATCAAAATTTCAGAATTTAGTGTTTTAGTATTTAATTATTACATAATATAGTAGATCCAAAAGGCTCAATAAGTACAAATGGACTATCTAGGGTTCTTTATAGTGATTTTATTCACACTGCATAATATTATTAAACCCTACAACATACTAGTATATAACAATAATAAATACACATTACATAGACAACACATAACAACATAAAACAGACTTATAGACAAAGGGGAATAAGTCAAATATATTCCAATGCTATTTATTCCCAATCTTATATTGAAATGAAATGCAAAAAAAAACGTCTCATAATTATGTGCTCTAAAGTATTATAAATAAGCATAAGCACTAGCAATCTCAATGATAGTGTTCCGACAAATTACATATAAACACTATAAGACTAAACAGTTACAAAATAAACAAGAAAATCACAAACTAAAACATGTAACACATTCCTTACCATATATGTGGTATATGGGTCATGCATGGAACCGTCTACTTGAAATCTATATTATAGTCAATTCTATATCATAACCTGAATAAAATAAATATAACATTCATAAGTCCACTGACCTGGACATTACTCTTACATTAATCAAAACACAATGTACTCAATAAAATTTCTATCTTAGTATCAGATCTCCGTACTAATATACTTTTAAATATATAGAAAATTATGAAGTTTATATAGTGTTTTAAATGATTTATACTATTTGACATTTACCAAGTATGTTTTACTAATAAAGGCTTATATTTTAATATGTGTGTTATTACTTTTAATCACTTCCTCTGCATATTCTCATTCAACTCATTCATTCATCTTTTATTCAATATGTTCAAACATCAGTATATTAGTTCTTGTTAGAAAATAGAATATAACTGACCTGTAGAAATGAATAATGAATTCCAACAATTGAATGACCAGTACTTTCCTTCCAAAACTGAATGAGGTTCAGTACAGGAAAATGACTGAGGTCCAATAAAGGAAAGTATGAAACTGAATACTAAAGAGTGAAAATCATAGCTGTATCAAATATAATAAGCAAAGTAACTAAAACTATATTAACTAATACTATTCATATTTGATTACCAACACATAACATGGAATGTATCATTATTTCTTAATTCAGAATTAGTGGGTACGGTACGGGAAATCTTCAATAGCAATACAAATTCATTTTTCGTTTTAAGTAGTATTTTTACAAGTTAAGAAGAGTTGTACATAAATGTAAAAATTATGTTATTATACATCACGCCATTGTGTTATTGTGCTGTGGTCATTTTTTGTATTCTTGTCGTTCACTTTTGCTTATGTGCTTTGTCTATATGCAATTTTGTTTATTTTTGTTGACATATTTTTTTTGTTTTTATAGTGATTAAGATTATAACACAGTGTTGACTGTTGTACTCCAATTTTGACATTTTTACCTATTATGTCTGTTTGTTTTGTTCACATATTGTTGTCAATTTAATGGAATTTTATGCGACTGTCATTCAAGTGAGAGGTTTAGCTAGCTATAAAACACCACCATTTTCTATAAAAGGAAATGCCTATACCAAGTCAGAAATGTGACAGTTGTTTTCCATTCGTTTCATGTGTTTGAGCTTTTGTTTTTGCCATTTGATAAGAACTTTCCGTTTTGAATTTTCCTTGGAGTTATGTATTTTTGTTATCTTACTTTTTTTTGAAGAGTAAAACGTTCTTTTAAAAAATGTTTGCTTAACTCATATAGAGTCTTTTGTTTTAATTGTTTGTTTACTATTATAGGTTAACTGACAACAAAATAGAATGCAGAACGTTAGCCATTGGTAATACACCAAGTTGTTCACGCCCACATGAAAGTATGAATGTTTTGACTGAGTTTCATCCTGGAAATTATATCTTCTATGGTTTGTTTGTTTAATTCATTGGGTTATTTTTGTTGTGTTTTTTTTTTTTTTTTTTTTTTTTGTCTTCGAGGTTTCCGAACCACGCAGTTTTGTCATTGATATGAAATGATTTAATAAATGAATATATAAATGAAGTCGGGATAAATACGCATAGAGTCCAACAATATAAGTAACTAGTATTAGTGTACAGCAATGATATTCCCTCTGGAACATAATCTGACGTTAGAGAGCAATATTGTCTTCGTTAATGCAAGGTAATGTAATATTACTCGAAAATAGTGACGTTTTAAAAAGTGGTAAACATCGCTTTTTTGTTTTTTTGTTTAGTTGGGTTTTTTTTTATGTCCTCTGAATAAAATATTCTGATTCCCTTTATGATATATAATTAGTATCTTAAACATGCTATATATACATCACTACTAAAACCGTAGCGTCACCTATGAATAAATCCAATCAGATCACTAAATAGTAAAGCTGTAAGAAGTCGTGTTATACGGTTATGTACTTTCATTTAAGGATATATTATTATAACAAATTCTTTACATAAGCTTTAACATACATTTTGGTGGTGCAGATACATTGATGAACAGACACACAAAGGCCCTGAAATTGCGTTTTCTCCTAAACCTAGGCTATGATCATTATTTCAGATGTACAACAGTCTACCATTGGTAGTTGTAGCAGAGATGAGATTGCCTGTCGTCTTACAACACGAGTAATTGGTCATAAACCGAGCCATAATATCTTTTTGATAGATTGTGGATTTTTGGCTCTTAGTTATGATGGAATGGCAGATAACCCAGATGATTTTTCTTCTTTCCAAGACAACCCTGATTTAAAGTAAGCTTTTAAATCTTATTGATACAATGGTGCGAATTTTGAAATTTCCAGTTTAAAAACATAGGAAATATATCACTAGTATCTTTGGTAGTTACCAGAAAATTGATTTGGTTTATGAATGGCTGGAAAGATAATTCCTTTAACCCAAAAAATGCAATTTTTAGAATTTCGATGAAAGTGACCAGGTTTAAACTTTAAAATCTATTGTATAAGAACATGATCCAACTGAAATATAATACACAATAATACACGTAATTTTTTTACAAAATATAAAGAGGAGTAATCTATTCAACCAGCTATACTCAAATTCTATCATTTCACATCATGAATAATTTTTTAGGGAAATTATTTGTTGTGTAGCTGTTAGCATTAGTATTGTTAATATCAACTGATTACAGGTTTTGTATTTAAATAGAAGCAATTACTATTATATCGTAATATAATACTGCAGTAGTTTTTTTATACATTTTAGAATTATCGGATTTTCACAAGAAATCGGCAAAGTAACAACAAAATCCGGAGAGAAATTGAACTATGACAGATATCCCATTGGATCCCAACTATTTATCTCTCCTTGGCATGTAAGTTACATATACAAGTACTCAATAAATTTATAAATTCATTCATCTAAAAGATCTGAATCGCCGACAAATTAAAGTTGAAAACTGTCGGAACTTAAAGCCACAGTAGTTTAACAACGTTCAAATTTCGTAAATCGATATTGAAGAGACAAATCCAAGTAATAAACACCGAGGGAATCGCATGAATTTCAGGATAAGTGAGACTTTGTGCGTCGACAGGGTAAGCGTCTCCTGATATACATGTATCATCAGCCATGTAAATTCACGCTCATCATGGTATCTTAAGATAAAAGACCATTAAAACATGTCGCTAGTGAGTTGAGACAACGACGCATCGTATCGGTCAACCAATTCGTGATGTTTTTATGTTAGGAGCACACCCTATTTATTAAGTTATAGTGTGAACATATACGAGGGTAACGTATTAACTGAGATTTGTAGCCGCCATACGTCAAAACGTCATAGGAAAACTCAGTCGACACGGGTACAGTTTCTACACAAAGGTTACAATGGGAACTAGACACTACCTGAATAAAAAAAAACCTCACCAATCAACCATAACTCAACAGAAATCAACTTAAGGAAACTCCAACAGCGCAATCTTGATTTTGTGTTTCAATAAAATTTAGCTCCAAGACTTAACTCTCTACTAATATACGAAGTCAAAGGGAAACCAAACTACTTGTTTATATATGAGCGTTACTATCAAGGCCTCAAATATATCGATATGTAATTATCTAAAATACGTATTTCGTCATCAACATATTGCAGCAAAAATCTATTTTATTACATGTACATTCTGTTGTAGTCATGTGCCACAGCATGTCAACACACTGTTTTCTATGTGCATTCTGGAAACAAGATAGTTGATATGTGGAGACCAACAAAGGGATGGTGATTGAAAGACTCGTTTGAAATTATAAGCATCTAATTTGAACGAACTTTACATTTTGCATTTGATCTTAGAATCCATAATTATATTGAACCAAGCATTTTATTGACTATGAAGACTGTCCTGTTTATAATATATGTAGGCATATATTCTATGGCAGGTTTGTACTGTGAAGAGTCTTGAGGTGGTATTTCTAATTTCCTTTACTGAAATATTTTTTTATTGTGCGTGTGTGTCTTTCGTGGTTCTATTTTCGAAATTTTCGCGATCCAGTTGTAGTTATGACAATAATGACAATGATACATAAAAAAGTTTAACGGGAACAAAAAAATAATGGACATTACAACAGACCACATCAACCACCAACTCTATATTTTTCTGACAAAATTAAATTTAATCAAAGACAAAAAACAACAAACAACAACATATGGTTTAATTGGAACAGGTGTGACGGGATTGCTTCCATTAGTACATATAGTAGATACTTAGCCAGCCGTAAGCGGTTGAGCTAGGGAAGTACTTCTTTATCTCAGTCGGTTAGAGCGCTGCCCTGTAACACAGAGGTCCCGGTTGGAATTCCGGAGGAGATGATTTTGTAATACGAATCATGCTCTCCGGTTACACAGGTACAAAATGTTAGGGTTAAGCCAGGTTTACGTTCTTACATCCCCGTTTTGTCTTTCTAAACCATATGTCGTAAACAAAGATATATAATAGGGTGCACATTCATATATTAGGGTCAAAATGTGTTCGTTAACACAGAAGACTAGCGAAGTTTGTTGGTTTATTTATATATCTAATCATGTACTTAACGACACCAACGAACAGTTAAAATAATTGATGATTTAAATTACATGTAGTAGGGTCGTAATACACAAAACATTTTAAAGTAAAGTAAACTATTAATTTTGTGATGTCTTAGTGTTAGATAAGAGTCAATAACCACTCCGCTAGTATGTGATGCCTAATCAAATGATATAACTTGTCAACGTAATTTATATGAGTAACACAACTCTAGAGCACCTGAGATCACCGTAGTACATTTGATGAGTTAGCCCAGTTGTCAGCACCTCTATGTTTACATGCGTCACTGGTGAGTCTGTTGAATACAGGAACGTGCGTCCTGCGTCAAATAATTATAAGCTTGGTATATTTGAAGATTTTTTAGCTTTCACAAAATGAAAGTGTTTTGCATAAAGATTGGTAACAATTTGTTTAAAATATGATTTAATTTAATCTCACCAAAAAGCTTCTTTTGAAATAACAATAAATATCCAGATGCGAAATCATCAAAATATGTTCAGATGCGAAATCATCAAATAATCGATGAAAAGTAAAATAACAAAAATACCGATATCCAAGGAAAACTCAAAACGGAAAGTCCCTTATCAAATGGCAAAATCAAAAGCTCAAACACATCAAACGAATGGAAAACAACTGTCATATTCCTGACTTGGTACAGGAATTTCCTTATTTAGAAAATTTAGAAATTATTTCGAAAATTCGTTATATTTTTGTATGCACAGAACTTCTGTGGATCTTACGAATATTTTTACTCTTAATATTTTTTATGAAAAGAGCCGCAGATGTTACTCAACATTCGAATATCTTGCTAACAAATTCATCTCTTGGAAATATCATTCAATTAGCATATGAATCCAAGCATTTGCGTGCAAAATTACGTTGATGTTTTGTTTGAACATAAATCGGCCGCTAGTCATTTTTGATTAGTGTCTTCATGAAAATAACTATACAGCTTATGAAAAGTAACTAGGGTTTTGATTGCCTTAACATATTAATTAAGGAGATGTCGGGTATATGTAATGAGACCATATCCCAGCGACATACATAACCAAAATACACCTAATCATTATTCCGTGAAAAAAAAAAACAAAATACAGAAAAAGGAAATATAAAACTAGTCAAATTAAAAAATGTTTGCTTTAAATGTATCTGTCCCGTTGGTTTGAAGTAAGAATGGTACCAAACGCAATGTACAAAAAAAAAGTAAAATCACAAAAATACTGAAATCCGAGGAAAATTCAAAACGGAATGTCCCTAATCAAATGTCAAAATCAAAAGCTCAAACACATCAAACGATTGGATAACAACTGTCATATTCCTGACTTGGTACAGGCATTTTCTTAAGTAGAAAATGGTGGATCAAACCTAGTTTTATAGCTAGCTGAACTTCTCACTTGTATGACAGTCGTATAAAATTCCATTATATTGACAACGATGTGTGAACAAAACAAACAGACATAATAGGTAAAAATGTCAAAAATAGGGGTACAGCAGTCAAACACGGTGCATTTCGTCGGGTACTTTAATGGCGACAGCGTCGGCCTGAATATTTTTTGCTTTTCTTTGTTTCAATTGCATTTTCCTTATGAAAAAGTATCTTATTGTATCTATAAGATACTCAGAGTTACTTTTGTTGGAATTTTTATAGTTATTTGACATTTATCATTACCTGAAAACGTATAACAAAAGTACCGGGATCTATGTTTTTTTTTTATATTAAAAATGAAGTTAATGTGTTCACCAACCATATTTTCTTGCATTTTTAAAGGATTCCTGTTCACAATAATGATGAATTCTTGCATAAATTTCATCATAATAGCAAAAGAGAGGAAAAAGATACCAAAGGGATATTCAAACTCATAGGTTGAAAACAAGCAGACAATACCGTGGCAAAAAACGAAAAACGACGAAAAACAAAACAACAGTAAACAAAACACAACCCCACCAAAACCGGCGGTGATCTCAGGTGCTCCGGAAGGGTAAGCAGATCCTGCTCCACTAGTGGCACCCGTCGTGTTGTTAATGTAAGTACAAACCCAGGGATAAATCTCATTCGGTAGGTCATATTGGGGGAAAATGGACGGGATTTTAGTAACGACAATTGGTATTCTGTTGATAATTTGTCGCTTTGTACGTAGTTCTGTGGTTAATCTCACATTGTACTACGTTGTTCTATTGATGATCTGACGCTTTGTACGTAGCTCTGTTGTTATAAATCTCACATAATACAATTGTGTTCTGTTGATGATCTGACGCTTTGTACGTTATTATGTGGTTAATCTAACATTATACCATTGTATTCTGTTGGCAAGCTAACGCTTTGCACGTAGTTCTGTGATTAATCTCACATTATACCATTGTGTTCTGTTGGTAAGCTGACGCTTTGTACGTAGTTCTTTGGTTTAGCTCACATTATACCATTGTGTTCTGTTAGTAGGATGACGCTTTGTGCGTAGTTCTGTGGTTAATCTCACATTATACTACGTTGTTCTATTGATGATCTGACGCTTTGTACGTAGCTCTGTTGTTATAAATCTCACATAATACAATTGTGTTCTGTTGATGATCTGACGCTTTGTACGTTATTCTCTGATTAATCTTACATTATACCATTGTGTTCTGTTGGTAAGCTGACGCTTTGTACGTAGTTCTTTGGTTTAGCTCACATTATACCATTGTGTTCTGTTAGTAAGATGACGCTTTGTGCGTAGTTCTGTGGTTAATCTCACATTATACTACGTTGTTCTGTTGATGATCTGACGCTTTGTATGTAGTTCTGTGGTTAATCTAACATACCATTGTGTTCTGTCGGTAAGCTGACGCTTTGTACGTAGTTCTGTGGTTAAGCTCACATTATATCATTGTGTTCTGTTGATAAGCTGACGCTTTGAACGTTTTTATGTGGTTAAGCTGGTACTAACATATATGTTTTAGACAAACGAAGTACACAATGAACTCCCAGTTCAAACCAAGAATAGTTGTTGTCTGTTCGGGATAAGGCTATCTCTCTAGACATAGTTGTTGTCCGTTCGGGATAAGGCTAGCTCTCTAGACATAGTTGATGCTATGTAATAGCCTGTTTATAAAAGATTGTAAAAGTACGGAATTGAAATTGTTAAAACCAAAAGCAAATGTCTTTCGGGCAATACGATATTGGTACGAAATTTTTAATTGCTTAAACATTTGTAATCATTGACATTATGAACAATTACACAAAAAACTTACAGATGAAAAGTTAAATACCTGTATATATGTTGGTAGATCCTATAACTTCAATACGTTTATCCTGTTGAGTGAACACAAACAGTTGAATAGAATACAATACTCAGTTTACGATAAAAACATGTCTGCTGTTAAATCAAGCTTCGGCAAACTTTATGTTCCAGTATGTTATGACACGGACCCTTTAACTGTATCAAAATGTCAACATTATTCCTGGTCGGAAGTGATGTTTCGAATTAGGCAATTCCATTCGTTACCACATAAACAACTAAGTGACACCATTAAAGTAAAATATACCTTCCCTTAAAAAACTCTTTAACGATAATTCAAAGTTTAAACAATTTCATGGTTTGTTGAATATCATTGATCGTTTTATATAATAATATATTGAAAGTAAACACCTTGAATTAGAAACCGCCTCAGTGGTCTCATAGAAGGGTTCGGTACCTTGTCGGTTCAAACCGAAGAGTTGAAAATTGGTATTTACAGCTTCTCCGCTCAACACTCGGAATTGAGGAGTAAGTGCAAAGACTATTCGTAATATTGTGTTCAGGCAGGGTGGCATGTCTTTATGTGTACATTTACCTTGTGAACAAGCACGTTAAAAATTCGGCTCTGCGTGTCGGTCTAATACAAAGAAGTGTTCATATGCATAGCACGTTAACATTATCCCGTCCTGATATGCATGTAATATTTACCACTGGACGTTAAGTACCAATCCAACATCCTCATCTTGTATTCAACTCATTAGAAATTATATTTATAATATATGTATTTATTCATATTATCATAGGTCAATACGGTCTTTTTCATTACGTGGTATGAATAACAAATAAAAGAAAGGTGTCAATCTTTTACAACATTAGTCGTACCTGTGTATGTGCATATGTGCAAATATTGATAGGACTGGCATATATGCAAAGGTTGATAGAACTGACAGATGTGCAAAGGTTGACTGGCTGACAGATGTGCAAAGGTTGACTGGCTGACAGATGTGCAAAGGTTGATAGGACCTGACAGATGTGTGCAGGTTGATTGGACTGGCAGAAGTACAGAGGTTGATAGGAATGGCAGATGTACAGAGGTTTATAGGACTGACAGATGTGCAACGGTTGATTGGACTGTTCTATGTGCAAAGGTTGATAGGAATGACAGATGTGCAAAGGTTGATAGGACTGACAGATGTGCAAAGGTTGATAGGACTGACATGTGAAAAGGTTGGTAGGACTGACAGATTTGCAAAGGTTGATATGACTTACAGATGTGCAAAGGTTGATTGGACTGACAGATGTGCAAAAGTTGATAGGATTGACAGATGTGCAAAGGTTGGCAGGACTGGCAGATGTGAAAAGGTTGATTGGACTGACAGATGTGCAATGGTTGATAGGACTGACAGATGTGCAAAGGTTGATAGAACTGACAGATGTGTAAAGGTTGGTAGGACTTGTAGACGTACAAAGGCTGATATAACTAGCAGATGTGCATAGAGAATATCATATGGCTTTTTCAATATCACATCCGTATCAACCCGAGACACCAATATAATCCCTAGAGCTCTGCTCGAGGGATTATATAGGTTGAGTGTTGATACGGTGTGTGATATTGAAAAAGCCATATGATATTCTCTATGCACATCTGCATAGAGAATATCATATGTTTTATATAGGTTGAGTGTTGATACGGTGTGTGATATTGAAAAAACCATATGATATTCTCTATGCACATCTGCTAGTTATATCAGCCCTTGTACGTCTACAAGTCCTACCGATGTACCTATCTATATGTGGACTGATCAAATATACACGACAATCTTGTTTCAGAATACCAATTTTGGATGATTATGCAATCAAATTTTGTATATCATGTTTTCAAATAAACTATAAGTAAATCAAAATTTTATTTGGGCTACATGTTGCTGTTGAAGGCATGTTGATAATAAATTTGCAAATGATACTTGTTAGAACTTGAGAGATTCCTCTTACTAAAATACTTTTTTTTTTCTTTTGCTTAAAGGGGCATTAGCTACGAGATATAGGAAAAAATAAAAAGTGATTTTTTTTTCGTTCAATCATTAATGAAAGTGAAATAGTGATATAATGATTCGCTTTTAGCAGCCAGTTTGGTTCTGTTTTGTCAAAATAAGCAAATAAACATCGCTAATAAATTATTCACTTGCAAGTGAATAATTCGACCTCATTAATAAACTCATCATAGATACCAGGATTGAAATTTTGTATTTGCGCCAGACGCGCGTTTCGTCTACAAAAGACTCGTCAGTGACGCTCGAATCAGAAAAATTAAAAAAGGCCAAATTAAATCCGTATTCATGTGAACTTCAATAGAACCCCTTAGCTAGAGATGGGTTACTCATGAACTAGGCGTGCTCAACTATTAGAAAGAAAATATGTCAACATTGGAAGTTAAACAAGGGTAAACCATTTGGTTGGTTGATTCAATCTACAAAACCCATTCTTATACAGGTAAAAACGATTATTAACATATTTTTTAAACCTATTATATGAAATCATACAGACGTAGAAAAATCCAATTGCACGAGTTCGCTATCTATTTATATCTATGTTTATGTTTATATCGGGTTATATGACCGTCGGCAGTCTTCGGAGGTCACCTCGATGGTTAATTAAATGGCGTCCAGACTAAAATATACACGAAATTCTGACACATATTATCAAGTCCGTGCATCGTAAATTGTATATTTTAGACTTTTTATTATTTGGATATACGTCTTAGTATGTTATAAATCAAATATGAGAATTATAGTCAATTTCGTGAACATGAATTTGACAGCTAATGCCCCTTCAACGATGTCGTTATACATTTTTGGATAAATACTTTAAATTTGCCAAAATGTGTCTAAAGGCGGGTCTGGGCTATTTGCAGGAGTTTACAATTTAATGATCTGTTTGAAAATAATCCTAATAGTATATATATATTTTTAGAACCTCAAATACAAATATGTAGATGTGATATTGTGATTTTTTTCAAAACTAAAGATGTATTGTTATTAAGTCATTAACATTGATGATCCTACATTTTCCCGGTACTTATAGTTAAGCATTAACCAAAGTCATGTTTATTCCCAGACTGCTTTAACACTGTATCCGATTCCTTAAAGGTGTATTGATTAATATTTAAGTCTAAGGGAAACAATGTGTATTTTTTGTTGAAATTTGGCTTTTGACTAGCTTTCAGTATCTGCATGTGAGTACTCATATATCAGTACTTTTTTTGGTTTATTTGTTAAGATGCTTGATTTCTTGATTGACAACATATTTGTTACGTTTTGGGGATGTTTTTTCAACAAACAATCGTCGTTCCAATAGGAAACAACCGTGCTCCTCTTCTTCGTCGACCTTTTTCATTTGAGGCTGACTTTATACAGAAATTTCTACAGAAACGTCTCGTCATTTTTTCTAAAAAAGTTCATTGGAAGGTACCAAGACCTTGTTGATAAATATTCCGTATCAACTTCACAAATAATACACGATGGTCTTGAAGTATAGATTCTGCGTACTGACGTTGTTTATCATCTTAATAACGTGTTATAGTATTCTTTTATTTGTCTTTATTAATATTACTTTTACTGTTAAGTCTGTTTTTGTGATATCCATTATGTATCCCGTCATACTTTGAACGACAAAATTATTTTATTTTATTAATATATTACTTTTACTGTTAAGTCTGTTTTTGTGATATCCATTTGACGTGACTCTGTACTTATGTATCCCGTCATATTTTGAAAGACATTTTTTTTATATCTACCTGTGTGACGTCAAACGCGCGATTCTACGCCAGTACTTAAAACCTTCCATCCTTTATTGGTGGATTTTACATAGATAAATAAAATCGTATAATAAAAAAGCAAAATGAGGATGTTAAATTTGATGTATGCCTTTTTGTGCTTCTTTGTTACATTTGTTTGTTTTTATAGTGATTAAGATGATGACACAATGTTGACTGCTGTACCCCTATTTTCGACATTTTTACCTATTATGTCTGTTTGTTTTGTTCACGCATCGTTGTCAATATAATAGAATTTGATGCGACTGTCATACAAGTGAGAGGTTTAGCTAGCTATAAAACCAGGTTCAATCCACCATTTTCTACATAAGAAAATGCCTGTACCAAGTCAGGAATATGACAGTTGTTATCCATTCGTTTGATGCGTTTGAGCTATTGATTTTGCCATTTGATTAGGGACTTTCCTTTTTGAATTTTCCTCGGAGTTCAGTATCTTTGTGATTTTAATTTTTTCTAATGAAGAATGAAAAGAAGCTAGCATTATCCTTTAATTGCATGTTCCGCTATATAGATGATATCCTCTCATCAAATAATTCAAAGTTTGCTATTGGTGACTATATTGAACGCATCTATCCCATTGAACTAAAGTATACAACAGATACATGATATCCTCATTGCCTCATATCTTAACTTACATCTAGATACTGACAACGAGGGTTGGTTGAGAATAAAACTTTACGACAAAAGAGATGGTTTCAGCTTCCCAGTAGTGAACTTTCCATTTCTATATAGCAACAATCCAACAGCGCTTGCAAATGAGTATGTATCTCACAGTTGATACTATAATCCAGAACTTGCATTTCCTATCATGATTTTCTTGAAAGAGTGTTGCTGCTTACAAGGAAGATATTGAACTAGGAGTTCCAAGTGGTGAAGTTGAAGTCATCCCTTCAAAAATTTTACGGACGACATCACCAGTTGGTTGGCCGCTATGGATTTCTGTTTCAAACATGACTACGGATATGTTCAAATTGTAACCACAATCCTGTCCTCTTTCCCTCGAATGTGACCTGCCGAATTAAGACTTAACACCTATTTTGTACTTACATGAGGAACACGATGGGTGCCACGTGTGGATCAAGATCTGTTTATCCTTCTTGAGCACATGAAATCACCACTAGATTTGTTAAAAAGGGGTCCGTGCTGTTCTTTTTTTTTTAGTTTTTCGCGTTGTTCTTTGTTCTTTTTTATTTTTTGAATGGCTGTGATGATAATACTGGTAACAGTCTTGTCTATCCTTTATGATTAAAAAAATTGTTACAATTTCAAAATGTCACATTCGGTCAAGTTTCGAGTAAGAAAAATTTACATAAACGCTATTGGGTGATGCTTAATCCTTGATATAATTTATGAACATATTCTATAGGAGTAACATGACGGGTGTCACATTTGGAGCAGCAAGGATCTGATTACCCTGCCGGAGCATCTGAGATCACCCACGCTTTTTGTGGTATTCTTGTTGCTGTTGTTCGTCTCTTGGTAATTTTTCTTTTTTGCCATGGCATTCTCAGTTTGTTTACGACATAAGAATTTGAATATCCCTATGGTATCTTCCGCCTCTCTTTTGCTTATAAGCGATCTGATGAGACAGTCCATTCCAAATTTTATTTTAGTTTAGTTTGTTCTAATATCATACGCTTAACTCCACCACATTTGTGTGTGAATGTCTAAGTCAATAGTCAAGTTATGTCTTCGTTTAATGTTTATATTCGTATGGTGAAATGTAGTTGTTTAATTATTTGTTCGCTCTTTTGATGGACAGGACCTGGTGTCCGATTCCAGACCATTACACATTTCATTATTTTCATATCCATTTATAAAAGAGGGGTTTGTTAAATATCACTTTTAGTTTTATAGTTGATAGGTTGATTTTCCATGTCAGGCCACACCAATTTCATTTGATTTCATAAAAACAAAGAGATGTGACAGCAAGCAATAACTTTTAAACTGAGCATGGTGTAGGATTTCTGTATCCACGGAAAAATTGGGAACTAACCTTAAATAGTTTCAAATTTGACTAAATGCTGGAGCAGGTATTTTATCAAATACAACTGTAAAACATTTATACACAATTTTCGACCATGGGAAGAGGCTAACAAAGATTTCAGTTTTTAAATTGTTTAAATCTTTTGCGAACCGAAATCAAAGAACTAAAATTAGTTTAACCGTGGCCTCATGAAAATCATTCTAAATTACGGGTGCCACATGTGGAGCAGGATCTGCTAACCCTTCCAGAGCACCTGAGATCACCCCCAGTTTTTGGTGAGGTTCGTGTTGCTCAGTCTCTAGTTTTCTATGTTGTGTTTTGTGTACTGTTGTTTGTGTATTTGTCTTTTTCGTTTTTAGTCATGGCGTTGTCAGTTTATCTTCGACTTTAGTTTGAATGTCCCTTTGGTATCTTTCGCCTCTTTTTTGTACAAAGTTTGAAATTCAATATTATAGCAATCAATGTTTCCATGAACTTTGATAAATAAGTGATGAACACATTGTATACATGATATTTAATGTCTATCTCTGACAACAACAAAGTAAATAAAATAAAAAATATGTTCGCTTTATTAAATTGAACTAGAATTATGCAATATTCAATGATTGTTCCATTACAAATAGTCAATGATTGTATTAAAATAATGCAACATTTAATGATTGTTCCATTACAGAATACACCTGATTGTTAATCAAATGTTTATGCTTTTCTCAATATTTTGTTCTTAACAACAAATAATCCATATTTGCAAGAATTCCGTGATTGGTTCACAATAGAATTAACGCAATTATCCAAACAAGAATTATCTTTTTTCGTCGTTCTGAAACAATAACAATGAACACAAAAATTATAGAGTAATGAGTTCAAATGTTTATAGTCCGCAATTGTGAAGATGACGAATTGAAAGTAAACTGAACTTCATCCTGGGTCTACTTTTTTACTTGTTCCATTTCAACATCTTCAACCGTTGGTGCACGGATAGTAAGACTCCCTTCATCATCTCTAAAGCATTGGATGTTTTCCCCCTCCACAGACCGTGGAACTGTCATTTGACGAAAAAACGACTCACGAATTTCATGACCGTCTTCTGACCTTTTTCGTTCTCCTTGGGCTGTCAAAATCCCATCTTTGCAAGATACTTTAACCTCCTCTGGTCGGTAATTTTCGACATTGAATTTCATCAAATTGCTGTGACTGTCGCTTGACACCAAGGCACGACCTTCTTGTGGTACAACTTGGAGTTGCTTTTCCTCTGAAAGACGGTACGGGGCTTCTAATATCATAGTTCCATCCGATTTCATGAAGCTGTGAATTTTTTCAGCATCAACATTCTCTGGTATCTGGACTGTCCTTGTACGCTCGACAGTATCGCCCCATTCATCATTACCATCTGTGTACTTAGCATGAATAATTACCTTACCTGAAACAAAGAAAAATACTCTGCAAATGTGCTTAACAGTTTTAGTGCCCAAGAACATTTTTAACTCTGTAACATTCTTTATTAATCTAGGATATAATTGTAAATACTAGTAGGTGAAATTATATTAATATCCGTCCACAATATACCCACCCCCAAAAAAAATTAAATTAAATGGTCGTCCCTTAATCATATTGCTGTCGATGATATTGCGATAGCACCGTAGACTGGACAGGTGCACACATGAACGTTTACATCGCCGACACACTATCGTTTTCTTCGTTTATTACGTCACAGAATTTTACTTGTAATAAGAAAGACGAAATGTGACGATAATTGTTTAGGAACTTCGGGGATTGGTTCGAACTGGAAAACATCGTCACAGGCCTAAGTTTCAACCCCCCCCCCCCCCCCTATATACCTTCCTTTAAATAACACAGGATTTAGTCTCAGTTTTACATATATACCTTAAAACTGTGTTTGTGTTATATAAAGGTATAAAGGGAAAAAAATATGAGAAAAGTGTCTGTGAACATCTGGCTTCAACGAAGAAACTATACACGGAAGAAGAGGGGGAAAAGGGTAATTGAGACCACATCTGGCCTTCATATTTATAAATCTCGTACAACCACCCCCCCCCCCCCCCACCCCCCCCCCCCCCCTCCCCAATTAAAAAAAGCAGCTGCTTATACCTTATACAACACCATAAAATAAATAATTTCATAATGCATGGTTACTTTAGCGCTCCCTCGTTTTCTCCATTGAATATCACTTCTAAACAAAAAAATCTAAATCAGGAGTAGGCCATTATGGCCCGTTGAAAAGGTGAATATCCAAAATTGTCAACACGAGAAGGTTATTTCACTGAGGGCGCAGCCCGAAGTGAAATAACATTTAAGGGTTGACAATTTTGGATATTCATCGCTTTTAAGGGCCACAATTGTTTTATTATACCGAACTAACAGTGGAAGGGAATTTTGAATCATTGTTAAAGCACTTGCCCTTACTTGAGTCAATAACAAACACAAGTTGACGTTCAAAAATACATGTAATTTGTGTCTTAGAAGTCTCGTATATGTACAACAAAGGTAGATTCTTTTTGTAAAATATTTATGGCCATGAAAAGGACCGTTATTAGAGATATCATCAGCACAAGATGCACGTCAAAAACCTTATTTCCTCTTCTCTCGATCAATAGGCTTCCTGTAACTTCAACCTTGCCATTTTGTTTATTTACGTCTGTGACGTCATTTTCATGAGTACAAATCAAAAAATTAAAAAGGTTATTCGCCGGTGAATAATAGGGTTATTCAACGCTAGTGTAAATTTTTAGGGTTAATTTATTCGTTCTTCCTTGCAATTGAATGAAAATTAACTGAATTATTCCATGTCACGTGATAACGTTTTACCCAATAGAATTGTTTGAAATATATGTAAGGTATAATAATGGCACTTGTCTGTGTACAAAAATATACCGACCGTGCAAGGGCTGTATAGCTAGTCAAGGTCGTTAAAAACTTCCATTTGTTGTACAAAAATATAATCATGGCAGACGAAAAAATAAAAACTTACCACCCTCTACTTTCACTTTGACATGTTGTGCATCGAAGTCTCCAATCTTCACGCTATAGGTCCACTTTCTATCCGCAAGTGAAGTCTCAGGTCTGTGTCTTCTCTGAATCACGGGTCGGCCATAACTCCAGCTTACGGGCATGGGGTTCCAGTAATCCATGAAGTGGAACAAGTCATCAGAATCATTCTGCCTTTGATTGAAGCGGTTCCAAAGCACTGGGACAAAAGACATGTTTTTGATTTTTATCTTGTAGCTGGAAGTCTAGAGCTGATACTATGACGTGTCCGTTTCCTTTTGATACCATATTGTCTCTTCGGCTTTTATATAGGTTGAAAGCTGGATTCTCGCAAGTTGTAGAAATTGAAAGACGGAAAATACCGGTTGCTAAATATAAACAACGTAAATAACTTATTCAGGTTCAAGGTTAAATATTAGTATGATCTAGAATGTTATTTTTAGAAGTCAATATTGATTATCTTTTCTATTGTATTCTATTACATTCGATTTCATGCATTAAACAGACTTTAGTTTAGACACCCAAAATAAGCTATTATATAATATACAAACCGTTTGAGCGTATATGTCTTATGTTTTGGAGTATTTCGTTATGTTTTGAATTATGTTGATATATGAATGCAATAAATAAATATAAAATGTTTGAATAATTTGTTCACTTGGTGGGAAGTTATGGAAAAGAAATTGGATATTCATGGAAACCCTTCATTGTCACGACACCGATCATTCAACTTTTCGGTAGGCATGGGTTCGTTTCGGGAAAGGTCTTTTTTTTTTTCTTTTTACCAAAAAAAAAAATAACGAATTAATAACATATGGGCTACGGGAACCGGCAAGATTTTTTTCAATTAATGTTGTTATCATTTTCCTAGTTTTCAAAAGACACAAGTTATTTTGACAAGACTTCAACCTTCATTTATGACTATTTAAATTCGCCAACACAGGGGGTTTCAATATTTTTCAAAAGGATCGGACAATTTATACACATTATACTTTTAAAAAATACCATCAAAATTGGGATGTATTTTTAAATCGATTTATATTCTATTTCCCTTTTCTTGGGGTACTGAATTTAAATGTTCCATGAGGGCGACCATTTACACATTCAGATAGGTACCCAAAACTAAAAATTGGCATAGAAAAATGTTATTATAATATTCTAAACGTTTTTTTAGATGAAGCTGTTTGTCTGCATTTCCCTTGGGGTTTTTATACATTTAAGCATATAATGTTCTAGCATAATGGTCATTTTTCATTTCGGATCGACGCAAACGTACTTTATTAAACAAATTAGTTTAAGTATAGGCTCAATCTATATATATATATTGAATAATGTGTCCGGGTTGAGTGACATTTCTTCCTGCGGACTGTAATCATCTGAACTAGCACGTTAAAATTCCGACTCAGGGTGTCAGTCTAGTAAAAAGCAGTGTTCATATGCATATCACATTATCCCGTCCTAATATGCATGTAATATTTGTCACTGGACGTTATACACCACTCCAACATCATCATCCTGAATTTAACACATAACTAATATATATTTATACGAAGTTTGACTTGAAAGGATACTGAATATGAATAAAAGGAGAAGAGGGTAGGCGTCAATGAGAAAAACAACCGAAGACACTGAAAAATCCAATGACATCTAGAGGTCATACGATCTTCTACAGTATGCACGTGACTGGAATAAAAAAAACATAAGAAAGATGCACAATGTGTCAATTATTTGCAATATTACTCGTACCTGTTTAAATGCATATGTGCAAAGGTTAATAGGACTTGCAGATGTGTAAAGGGACTAGGGCTGAATGATGTGCAAATGTTGATATGACTGGCAGATGTGCAAAGGCTGATAAGACTGACAGATATGCAAAGGTTGATAAGACTGGTAGATGTGCAACGGTTGGTAGGACTGACAAATGTGCAAATAATGATAGGACTGACAAATGTGCAAAGGTTGATGGGACTGACAGATGTTCAAATGTTGATAAGACTGGTAGATGTGCAAAGGTTGATGGGACTGACAGATGTTCAAATGTTGATAAGACTGGTAGATGTGCAAAGGTTGATGGGACTGACAGATGTTCAAATGTTGATAAGACTGGTAGATGTGCAAAGGTTGATGGGACTGACAGATGTTCAAATGTTGATTAGACTGGTAGATGTGCAAAGGTTGATGGGACTGACAGATGTTCAAATGTTGATTAGACTGGTAGATGTGCAAAGGTTGATGGGACTGACAGATGTTCAAGTGTTGATTAGACTGGTAGAGGTGTAAAGGTAGCAGAACATTTTATTTTTTTTCTCTACTGTTGGTAATAAAGTCGGGAATGATGTGATATATTCTTATCACCCTAGCATTGTGGAAATAAAATAATCATAGTGGTGAGAGCATCCACTTTAATTTTCAGAAAATAACACCAGACAGAGTAGAGAAAATTCTCAATACATTCAATACAAAAAAGATAGAAACCATTGAAAGATGCTCAAGTTAGCTACACCACTACACAAGAAAAACAGTCAACTAGACTAATCAAATTACAGACCAGTCAGTGTCCTGCCTATTTTATCCAAAAGTTTTGAAAAAGTTTTTCAGCTACAACCGGCTTAGTGATTACTTGATTTGGATTTAATCCAAATCTCTGTGCTTTCCGTCGTGGCATGGACCATTATACTAAGACAGCTTGAAGATTGACGTTCTTCTCTTGATAAAAACCTGTATAGTGCTGCTGTTTAAATGGACATTTTGAAGGCTTTTGAAATAAATGAATAATTTGCTTTGCCATGACTGTGTTGTGCTTACTTTTATGTATGCTTCTCTATTTTTAGGTTGCTTGCATGATTATGCTTTTTACATTATTGTACATCTTCGTATGTATTCGGTTGAAAGCTCTATAGAGCTTATGATGAGTATAGTTTGTGTAACTATACCGAGTCTAAAAAAAGCTTGTGTATACATATAAAGGTTGAGAGGACTGACGAATCGTAATGGTTGATTGGACTGACAAATGTGCAAAGATTAATTGGATTGACAGATGTGCAAAGATTGATTGGACTGACAGATGTGCAAATGTTGATTGGACTGACAGATGTGCAAAGATTGATTGGAATGACAGATGTGCAAAGCTTGACAGGACTGGCAGATATGCAAAGATTGACAGGACTGACAGATGTGCAAAGCTTGACAAGACTGACAGATGTGCAAAGATTGACAGGACTGACAGATGTGCAAAGCTTGACAAGACTGACAGATGTGCAGAGATTGACAGGACTGACAGATGTACAAAGCTTGACAGGATTGACAAATGTGCAAATGATGATAGGACTGACAGATGTGCAAAGGTTGATGGGCCTGACAGATGTGCAAAGGTTGATGGGACTGACAGATGTACAAAGGTTGATGGGACTGACAGATTTGCAAAGGTTGATGGGACTGACAGATGTGCAAAGGTTGATAGGACTGACAGATGTGCAAAGGTTGATGGGACTGACAGATGTGCAAATGTTGATGGGACTGACAGATGTGCAAAGGTTGATGGGACTGGCAGATGTGTAAAGGTTGATAGGACTGACAAATTTGCAAAGGTTGATAGTACTGACAGATGTGCAAAGGTTGATAGGACTGACAGATGTGCAAAGGTTGATAGGACTGACAGATGTGTAAAGATTGATAGGACTGACAGATGTGCAAAGGTTGATGGGACTGACAGATGTGTAAAGGTTGGAAGGACTGACAGATGTGCAAAGGTTGATGGGACTGACAGATGTATTGATTATACAGTGCTTTGTTATCTGCATGTTTAAAAGGAAACATTTGACTGTAAATTTTTGAATGTTATTGCCAAAATTTTATTTAAGAATTGAATGCTACTTTTTGTAATTTTATTGGGATCAAAAGCCTTGACCGAAGCACATTTTGTATGACGCGCTTTAACGATCAAATACAGGTGGTAGACGATATGAAGCGATAAACGTATAGTATATGTTTATAGTCTCCTGGTATCCAGCTTCTGTTGTGAGAACTGAGGTGGATAAGGAAGAAGAGTTTATTTTGGCACTTGAATTCGAAAAAAGTAATGAATTGTTTAAATCGACCAAAAATAATCCTTCAAATGTACACAAGAAGTCTCTAAAACAAACATTTCTCTGACGTTAGGAGGCTCCAGCAAGCCCTCAAAAAATACCATATGACGTCAGAGCCATCACGGATAATCAGATATATCAGTTTTTGCATTTTTTAGTTTTTGTCCTCAAATATTTGAAACTTCATTCATTTAAAGACCCGTTATTCAATACCTTTCATAAATAGTAATATATGAGCTACTGCCTCACCACCCAGCCCCACCCCACCCCCATCCCTATACAAAAAAAAAGAAGTTTAGGCTATTGATCTATTTTTGTATGTCCCATATGTGTATTTTGGTGAGTTTTACTACTACAAAAGAAACTCTGACGGCACAAAAAGATTTGATAATCAAGATTTATTAGAATGAACTCATCATAGATACCAGGATAAAAATGTGTACGCCAGACGCTTTAGTCTACAAAAGACTCAACAGTGACGCTTGAAGTTATAAAGGCCAAATAAAGTAGCAGTTGAAGATCATTGAATACCATTCCATTAGATATAGGAAACTTATCTGTCTATAATATTATTAATAGTATATGGTAGAGTAGAATACAAAGTATAAAAATCAAAACTGTCAGCCGAGGGAAATACACATTTAACCGAACATTGCTTTTCCAGTACTTTCCAAGAACCTTTAAGTATTTATCAGACTTTACAAGTTTCCTTATTTTACCTAGTGGTAATTTTGTGGTTTTCAGTCGAGGTTGTCCAGCTCATTTAATGTTACATGTTCATCTATACAATCTTATCTTCAGTTGTAGTTGGTATGAACGTACCAGAATTTGATTACTTGGTTTTTAACTATCTCAGTATGGTTCGTAAGTTAACCAATGACAACACTGATGGTAGCTTTGTCATCCAGAACAACAACACTGTTGATAGCTTTGTCATCCAGAACAACATGGTATTCCCACAACAATTTTATAAAATTTGAAAACATTTGGCCTTGTAATTTCAGTGGAGAAATAATAAAAATTAACATACCAGAAGGAAGAATAGCTTTGCTTGTCATAATTGGAGCTTCTCAGAATTAATGGGGATTTTATAAAAAGATCTTTCAAACATTATTCCTGCAACATTTAATTCACAACTGCCATGTAATTTCAGAGGATATGAAATAAATATATATAATATATATCATTGATTAAAACTCTCACATCTGGAATAATTTTTATCAGGCACTCTTGACATGACCAAAACTTTGGAAGCCAAAAACCTCTAAAACAAAAACTGCAAAGAAAAACATCAAAATCTGTACTCAATCACCTTTGCCTGAAAAAGTTGCAACCTCAGTTAAAGTACATTTATACATATATAGACAATATTTGTACATTTTAGGAAAATTTAGAATTTATTTTGTACGAGCTTTAGAAACAGAGAGAACAGCGAGGCAAATCGAGCTTTTCTCTTGTTTCGTAGCGAGTACAGATAAATTATATATTTTCCTACAATGTAAGAATATTTTTTTTATCCTGCAGTTAAACGTGTAGTTGTTTTTTTTTCTTCCCAACCGATGGATTTGTTTTTAATGTTATCAACATTACTTAAACGCGGACCACGATGACGACCCCAAATTGAACTGTGACGTTAACAGTAATGAAATATAATGGAATTTTATGCGACTGTCATACAAGTGTGAGGTTTAGCTATCTATAAAACTAGGTTTAATCCACCATTTTCTACATAAGAAGATGCATGTACCAAGTCATGAATATGACAGTTGTTTTCCCATCGTTAGATGTGTTTTAACTTTTGATTTTGCCATTTGTTGAAGGACTTTCCTTTCTGAATTTTTCTTGGAGTTTGGTATTTTTGTTATTTTACTGTTGAATATTACCGGTCGCTCGCTCTTACCAAGTTAATTTTAACGTTATATGTCGTAGGTTTTTTGATACCTTGATGTAAGAATTTCTAATGATATGACGACAAAACAGACGTATTTTCCTATACATTCCTTTTCCATTAAATCAAAATGTATCGAACTAACAGCATTCTATCAGAACTCATGCGATGTGATATGATTGTCAATAAGACAACTGTCCGCCAGAAGCCACATGACGTAAAAGTTAGCAGCCATGTCAGCCATGTTGGTCATCATCGGACACATTTTTAAACCAGATACACAAAATAATGAACGTGGCCAAGTTTGGTTCCAATTGACCAATTAGTTTTAGATGAGATTTTTGTTAAAGTTAACGGACGACGGACAACGACGACAGACGCCGAGTGATAGAAAAAGCTCATACTGGCATTTGAACCAGGTGAGCTAAAAATGCAAAGCATAGAGTAACCATCGTCTTTTGATGGCGATAACCCGTGTAAGGGGTCAATTGATGATTTCGTCCATGTGACTTATCTGTTGATGTTATTGTTCTGTCAATTTTACTGTTTTGAAATTCTCTCTATATAATAGTTTTCAATATAATAATCAAAACTTCGGAATTTGCAAAATATTGACATTTCACGGGCAATAACTCCAAAATAAATCGTACTGTTTTTCTTAAAATCAGATAGAAGATAGAACATTTTTACCCTTTAGTTCTGTTTTAATTTTACCAATGCGTTCTATTTAAAGGACAGCGGCCTTGTTTGATCACAGATCAGATCCCTGGATACATTTTAAAAACTAGATTCAATAAGGAACATCCAGGTACAGTTTGGTTACAATTGGTTCAGTTGTTTCAGAGGATGTTTTTTTTTTTAAAGTTTGCGACGACGGATACCGAGTGATGGCAAAATCGAGCATGGCCTTATAGGCCAAGTCAGCTAACAATCTAATAGTTTTAATGCTGATATGCTGATTTTCCATGTCAGGCCACACCAATTTCATTTACAGTTCTTTGATTTTCATATAAACAGCCAGATGTATAAACAAGCAATAACTTTTAAACTGAGCACGATGCAGGATTTCTATATTCACAGTAAACAGTTTCAAATTTGACTAATTTAGAAGCAAGTTTTTTTTTATCAAATTCAAATGTTAAACATTTATACAAAATTTTTGAAATCAATCAAGTAAACGCGTAGTCTAATAAAAATCATTCTAAAGTACAACAACTTTGAAATTATCAAAATTTCCTTGAACTTTGATAAATAAGTGATAAAATCATTGTACACATGATATTTAATGTCTATCTCTGACAACAACAAAGTAAATAAAATAACATATATGTTCTCTAACATTATGAAAAAGTCAACGATTGTTCCCTTGCAGAATACACATGATTGTCAAACAAGAATTTCTTAAAATGTTGTTCTAAATAACAAAAATATCTGAATTTGCAAACATCATGTCTTATTTTTCTTTTGATAGAACTGAAAGTATGCAGCATTCAATCATTGGAAAATCAACACAATTATCTAAACAAGAATTACGCGTTTTCGTCATTCAAAAACATTTACAATGAACATAGTGATGAGTTCAAATGTCTAAAGTCTATGAAATACAATTATGAAGATGACAAATAAAATTGAAATTAAAAGTCATCCTGGATCTACTTTTTTGCTTGTTCCATTTCAACATCTTCAACCGTTGGTGCACGGATTGTAAGATTCCCTTCCTCATCTCTGAAGCATTCGATGTTTTTCCCATCCACAGACCGTGGAACTGTCATCTGACGCCAGAACGACTCACGAACTTCATGACCATCTTCAGACCTCTTTCGTTCACCGTGTGCTGTCAACATTCCATCTTTGCAAGATACTTTTACCTCCTCTGGGCGGAAATTTTCGACATTAAATTTCATCAAATTACTGTGGCTGTCACTGGCTACCAAGGAACGACCTTCTTGTGGTACAACTTGGAGTTGCTTCTCCTCTGAAAGACGATACGGGGCTTCTAACATCATAGTTCCATCCGATTTCATGAAGCTGTGAATTTTTTCAGCATCAACATTCTCTGGTATCTGGACTGTCCTTGTTCGCTCGACAGTATCTCCCCATTCATCATTACCATCTGTGTACTTAGCACGAATAATTACTTTCCCTGAAACATAGAAAAATACTCTGAAACGTGCATAACAATTTTAGCGCTCACGAACAATTTTTAAATTTTCAACTCTGTCAATTCTTTAATAATCTAGGATAAAATTGTGCACAAGTGAAATTATATTAATATTCCGTCCACAATCCCCCTCCCCCTAAAAAATCAAGCGGTCGTATTGAAAATAAATCTTCAAGTGGGGAAGTTGTTTGTGATTACAGGGAACTTTATCTAGATATGCCTGTTATGATCTCAGTGACATTTACCACACCTTCATTAAAACTGTTTCTAGCCTTTATTACTGTAAAGAAGTACAAAAATTAAATTCCGATAACAAATACTTTCCAGGAAGAATATATGATGAAACTGAGGATTTTTTTCTAAAGAAATGAGTCGAGCGGATCGAGGCGGAAAAAATTATGTCTTTAATGCCGAAAATTTATATTTTCTTTACTTTATTGTAATGGGAAGCGTTGGGTGTGGGTCGCCTTATATTACTCCATGGCTCCAGGTCATAAAAGGAAATTATTCACGTAAAGAAATATTAAAAATGCCACACTTGACTCCTTAATATCATCTTGAACCATTGAAATATATGCTCAATCATTAGTTTTGCGATTAATCATGTAAGGAAACAACAGTTACTATCAATATTACCCCCCCCCCCCCCCCATAAAAATCAAATGGTAGCTCCCTTAGACACTTCTGTTTTGATTTAGAGTATTCATCAAATCAGCTATAAATTTTGCATGTTTAAAATACACATTTGCCAAAATCTTGTAAATTTTTGATGCTGCCCAATCTGAAGTTTTGAAAAATTCAACACCTCCCCTCTCCATTCCCAAAATTTTCAAGACCCCCCCCCCCCTTTCAGGTTACTAATGACCAGTTCCTGAACTTGATAAAAAATCAAAATCAAAACAGACTAAAATAGGAATGGCCATTGTCACTTGTCTCTGTAAAAAAATATATTTCTATATTTTTCCTGCTAGTGTTATGGATAACGATGCCCTCGACGACATTGTCCCATCACAGACGAAAAATAAAAACTTACCACCATCTACTTTCACTTTGACATGTTGTTCGTCGAAGTCTCCAAGCTTCACGCTGTATGTCCATTTTCTTTCCGCAAGTGAATTCTCAGGTCTGCGTCTTCTCTGCATCATGGGGCGGCCATATCCCCAGCTGACGGGCATGGGGTTCCAGTCATCCATGAAGTGGAACAAGTCATCAGAATCATTCTGCCTTTGATTGTAGCGGTTCCAAAGCACTGGGATAAAAGACATGTTTTGCTGATTGTCTTTTAGCTAGTAGTCTAGAGGTGATACATGTACTATGACGTGTCCGTTTCCTTTTGATACCATTTTGCCTCTTCGGCTTTTATATAGCGTGAAAGCAAGATTCTCGCAAGTTGTAGAAATTAAACGAAGAAAAAAAACCGATTACTAAATATAAACAACGTAAATAACTTATTCAGGTTCAAGGTAAATACTAGTACGATCTAGAATGTTATTTTTAGAAGTCAATATTGATTATCTATTGTATTCTATTTCATATGCATCCAGCAGACTTTATTCAATACCCCCAATATAAGCTATATAAAAACCGTTTGATAATTTTTGGGGGTATTTCATTATGTTTTAAATTTAGTTGAGCATGAATTCAACAAAACAAATAAAAATAACTCGGATCGTTCATTTTGTTGGAAGTTATCGAAGAAAAAGTAGACATTCAAGGGAACACACCGAGCATTTGGGTGGCATGGTTTTTTTAGGGGGAAGTTTTAACAAACAAAAAAACTAATTAATTAATTAACATATGCGCGTGCTACAGGAACAAATTTTTTTAGTTAATGTATAAATTATTATGTTATCATTAGCTAAAGACACAAGTTATTTTTGGCAAGACTTCCAATTGAAACCCCTTTCATGTATAACTATGTTTATTCGTCAACAAAGGGGAGTCTTGTGCTATTTTTCACTTCCTTTTTAATTAACAAACTATTTTTTTCTTCAAAAAAGAATATGACTGGCAGTGACAATTTATACACATTTGTTATACTGAAAAATACCATACGTACAAAAATTGGGATGTATTTTTTTAAAGACGGGGTATATTCTATTTCACTTATGAAATTTAGAACTTATATATGTTCCGCTAGGCGGTGTCTTCCTCCTATTCCCACTTTTAAAAATCACTATTCCTTCTATTCCCACTTGCAAATAATAATAGATGTTTTTATAAATAATTTGTTTTTATAACAATCAAGGTTAATTAAAAATTCACCTAAGATTTACCTGTATTTTTTAAAAGAAAACATATTTCTAATAGATATAAGAAGATGTGGTATGAGTGCCAATGAGACAACTATCCATCCAAGTCAAAATTTATAAAAGTAAACCATTATAGGTCACAGTACGGTCTTCAACACGGAGCCTTGGCTCACACCGAACAGTTCTAACACTGTTAGGTATAATATTATTTAAAAAAAAAATTAAAACACTGTTTATTTGTAATATGTTTTTTTCTTATTCAAAGAATTACTTTAAAACAAAGAATAAGTCAGATAAATAGAAGTAAGATTAAAAAATCATTGAATTTGTAAACTTAAAAAAATTGTCATCCGAACATATAAATTGATGATAGACTAATATTATAACAAACTTTCCCATCTTACAAGATTTGCATGTACAACAAACGCAAGAAGAACCTACCAGTTTTACCAAAAACTATTGATGAAATCTACATAGATGGTATGTGGGCACGTACTATGATCGAAGATGTGTGGTTTAATGTCCTAACCGACATAGATCAGATTGATACTAACACCAACTACACGCCCTTTACAGACTATGTAACAACATACTGGGTCGAACAGAATAGTCACCTTTTGGACCATTACACAACATAGGGACCGATGACTACACATCATCTAGAGGGATGGCACAGCAAGCTTAAGAAACATGTCCAGCACCAACATCGAAACATCTTTAAACTCATAAAACTTATGAATCATGAGGAAGCTTTCAACGCCCTGACCATGATCCAGTATGCAGCCGGTGGGAAGAGAGTGGCCCAAAAACGAAAGTATGTCGAAATCAACAACAGATTAAAAGAGCTTAAGGTTAGACTACGCAGCCAGGAAGTCACAACAGTACAGTTTGGTGATGCAGCCTCCCACCTTCTTCTCGTTGAATAGATTAATAAACTTTAATAGACTTATATACTGTGAATTTCTAATGTGTGTGTAATATGTTTTATTTGTTTTAGTGCTGTTAACTTAAAATGCTTGCTTGAATCTACTGTTGAATTTGTGTTATAAAAGAAATAAAATAATTTACTTATATTTGTTTCCATTTGTTTCATGTCTATTTTAATTAAAAACACAGAATTCATACACATAAAAAAATAACCTATTACCAACCCAAAAAAAACACTTGTCAATTAAAAGTTGAATAAACAATGTTTATACAGTATAATCCTTTGTTTGCACAAGTTTTCCCCCTATTCCCACATGAAATTTTAACTTTTTTACCAGATTTATAAAAAGTGGGAATAGGAGGAATGAACCCGCTAGGCGAACAATCAGATAGGGTTCATTCCTCCTTTTCCCACTTTTTATAAATCTGGTAAAAAAGTTAAAATTTCATGTGGGAATAGGGGGAAAACTTGTGCAAACAAAGGATTATACTGTATAAACATTGTTTATTCAACTTTTAATTGACAAGTGTTTTTTTTTTGGGTTGGTAATAGGTTATTTTCGCCTAGCGGGTTCATTCCTCCTATTCCCACTTTTTATAAATCTGGTAAAAAAGTTAAAATTTCATGTGGGAATAGGGGGAAAACTTGTGCAAACAAAGGATTATACTGTATAAACATTGTTTATTCAACTTTTAATTGACAAGTGTTTTTTTTTTTGGGTTGGTAATAGGTTATTTTTTTATGTGTATGAATTCTGTGTTTTTAATTAAAATAGACATGAAACAAATGGAAACAAATATAAGTAAATTATTTTATTTCTTTTATAACACAAATTCAACAGTAGATTCAAGCAAGCATTTTAAGTTAACAGCACTAAAACAAATAAAACATATTACACACACATTAGAAATTCACAGTATATAAGTCTATTAAAGTTTATTAATCTATTCAACGAGAAGAAGGTGGGAGGCTGCATCACCAAACTGTACTGTTGTGACTTCCTGGCTGCGTAGTCTAACCTTAAGCTCTTTTAATCTGTTGTTGATTTCGACATACTTTCGTTTTTGGGCCACTCTCTTCCCACCGGCTGCATACTGGATCATGGTCAGGGCGTTGAAAGCTTCCTCATGATTCATAAGTTTTATGAGTTTAAAGATGTTTCGATGTTGGTGCTGGACATGTTTCTTAAGCTTGCTGTGCCATCCCTCTAGATGATGTGTAGTCATCGGTCCCTATGTTGTGTAATGGTCCAAAAGGTGACTATTCTGTTCGACCCAGTATGTTGTTACATAGTCTGTAAAGGGCGTGTAGTTGGTGTTAGTATCAATCTGATCTATGTCGGTTAGGACATTAAACCACACATCTTCGATCATAGTACGTGCCCACATACCATCTATGTAGATTTCATCAATAGTTTTTGGTAAAACTGGTAGGTTCTTCTTGCGTTTGTTGTACATGCAAATCTTGTAAGATGGGAAAGTTTGTTATAATATTAGTCTATCATCAATTTATATGTTCGGATGACAATTTTTTTAAGTTTACAAATTCAATGATTTTTTAATCTTATTTCTATTTATCTGACTTATTCTTTGTTTTAAAGTAATTCTTTGAATAAGAAAAAACATATTACAAATAAACAGTGTTTTAATTTTTTTTTTTAAATAATATTATACCTAACAGTGTTAGAACTGTTCGGTGTGAGCCAAGGCTCCGTGTTGAAGACCGTACTGTGACCTATAATGGTTTACTTTTATAAATTTTGACTTGGATGGATAGTTGTCTCATTGGCACTCATACCACATCTTCTTATATCTATTAGAAATATGTTTTCTTTTAAAAAATACAGGTAAATCTTAGGTGAATTTTTAATTAACCTTGATTGTTATAAAAACAAATTATTTATAAAAACATCTATTATTATTTGCAAGTGGGAATAGAAGGAATAGTGATTTTTAAAAGTGGGAATAGGAGGAAGACACCGCCTAGCGGAACATATATAAGTTCTAAATTTCATAAGTGAAATAGAATATACCCCGTCTTTAAAAAAATACATCCCAATTTTTGTACGTATGGTATTTTTCAGTATAACAAATGTGTATAAATTGTCACTGCCAGTCATATTCTTTTTTGAAGAAAAAAATAGTTTGTTAATTAAAAAGGAAGTGAAAAATAGCACAAGACTCCCCTTTGTTGACGAATAAACATAGTTATACATGAAAGGGGTTTCAATTGGAAGTCTTGCCAAAAATAACTTGTGTCTTTAGCTAATGATAACATAATAATTTATACATTAACTAAAAAATTTTGTTCCTGTAGCACGCGCATATGTTAATTAATTAATTAGTTTTTTTGTTTGTTAAAACTTCCCCCTAAGAAAAACCATGCCACCCAAATGCTCGGTGTGTTCCCTTGAATGTCTACTTTTTCTTCGATAACTTCCAACAAAATGAACGATCCGAGTTATTTTTATTTGTTTTGTTGAATTCATGCTCAACTAAATTTAAAACATAATGAAATACCCCCAAAAATTATCAAACGGTTTTTATATAGCTTATATTGGGGGTATTGAATAATGTCTGCTGGATGCATATGAAATAGAATACAATAGATAATCAATATTGACTTCTAAAAATAACATTCTAGATCGTACTAGTATTTACCTTGAACCTGAATAAGTTATTTACGTTGTTTATATTTAGTAATCGGTATTTTTTCTTCGTTTAATTTCTACAACTTGCGAGAATCTTGCTTTCACGCTATATAAAAGCCGAAGAGGCAAAATGGTATCAAAAGGAAACGGACACGTCATAGTACATGTATCACCTCTAGACTACTAGCTAAAAGACAATCAGCAAAACATGTCTTTTATCCCAGTGCTTTGGAACCGCTACAATCAAAGGCAGAATGATTCTGATGACTTGTTCCACTTCATGGATGACTGGAACCCCATGCCCGTCAGCTGGGGATATGGCCGCCCCATGATGCAGAGAAGACGCAGACCTGAGAATTCACTTGCGGAAAGAAAATGGACTTACAGCGTGAAGCTTGGAGACTTCGACGAACAACATGTCAAAGTGAAAGTAGATGGTGGTAAGTTTTTATTTTCCGTCTGTGATGGGACAATGTCGTCGAGGGCATCGTTATCCATAACACTAGCAGGGAAAATATAGAAATATATTTTT